ATGAAATCGGTCGTGGGCTGTCGAACAATTTTCAGCAACCTTATGAGTACTGCATTGCGTATATATCCGATTGTAATGGTTTCGGTTGACAAAATCCGCTTACGCATTCCTGTGGAGTAAGACGGTCTCAGTGCGTTCGATGCCAGCATGGGAAAACTGTGAAGTTTTACCCGGGGTAAAATCCTCCACAGGTGGCATTATTCGGCTTCAGAGATGCTTTCAATACGTAGTTCTCAGAGATGACTAGGAACAATCAGACGTATACAAATTGTAACCTAGAGGAGGCTCCGGTGACGGACTCTGTAGACAATGTGGAGACTTCCGTATAGCAACTGAAGCCGCTGAATCAGATTTCCAGCTGTCCTTCGAGGCGACAAAGCCATCCATGATATGGTGTATGGGTCAAGGTTTGTTTCGTTATTCCATCATTCTTCCTGCGCAACAGATACCTAAAGCAGTACCGACGTCGTCGGTCGAAAAGTTGGGACTGGCGTGGACAAAAATCTTGGATCCCGCGACTGGACACCGTTTCTAGATACCAAAAGCGAATATATGGGTAGGTTTTTCGTTGCTCGCAGAGGACAAGTTTCACAGGTATGTTTGGACAGACTGGAAAAGGCTATCCACACGGGTGATGATGAACATAGTAGCTATCCGAAGGCAACACTCACTAGGTCTTTCATGCATGCAGATGAAAGGAAGCACAAGTACAGTCCAGAAAACGTGAGGACCGGGGCGTGTAGAAGTGCAAAACACGATGGGGAATCCTTAAAAGCATGGTATCTCACAAGGGATTCAATCGATCGACACGCTGAAATCGATCCGATCTATGCATCAATACAAGCGAAAGACCGCCAACTCAATGATAACAATGAATCAGTCTAGGCTGTCATGCCAGCGGACAGAGAAATGGAATTTGATGTGGGAGTGGATATCCCAACCCGACCAAAGAATCCCCTCTAACTATAGTAGCGCTAGCTCATCCACACAGACGGACGAGAAGTAAAAAGACGTTAAAGAGGAATAATCATATGAACCGAACCGGAAGAACCAGACCCTAAGCTGAGCCCAAACCCACGTAGGTTTCCCTATCCTCTTAACACTTGGTGATCCACTCTAACACGCGAATTCGCTTGGCCGACACCTAACACAGATTTAGCTTGACTTGGCTGATTGGTTTTCCTTCCGTCTCGTAACCTAGTCACTCGGCATGACAAAGCTTTTGTGTCAAAAGCAAAATGTTGCTCAGCAGATTACCAAACTTTGCCGTAAACGAACGAAGGTTACAACATGGAAGCCGCAGAGGTCAAGCCCCGATACACCTAGATATCGGCCAGTCGGGAGATAGGTTAACTAATTCGTAATTCCGGAAACTCACCGCAATGACCAATCATAAGGCGGCACCGGCCTGAGTGAGATTCTACATAATCCCATGTAGACATAATATCCTCACACTTCCACTTGCAACGAACGGGCAATGCCATCTCGAATGGCGATGAAACGTTTAGAACCAGCTCAGTGAAAAAATTCCGTTTATTCGTATGAATACTAAGACAGAAAATTCTGGTCAGAATGCCTTTTAGGAATTTAACATCCCACAGAGAAACACCGTCGCCGGGGGTAAAATTTTTCCGGGACCGGACTTTTTCCACATTATAATCCTTCTTTGGGTAGTTAGACCTTTGAGAACCGGAGGGGGAAGACGGATGACACCGCCTGATTTGCATTCGAAGAGGATTTTTCAAGACTTCGAAGCAGATTTATTAATCAACTACCTTTGACGACATGCTGTCCAGCGAACACATTTATCTCGTTGCAAAATGCAACCGGATGTCCCATCGGAAGGGATTGACAAGATCCAGTAACGGTTGAGTATCACTAAAGGATGTTCAAATCGAGTCAACAGGCTGGCACCAAGTCCTTCAAATGGTAAGATGTGCATTGTAACTTGAGGTCCTGCCCACTGAGGTGGAAAAAAATCGTGTGCACTAGAACAGGTGAAAGGCACAAGAGCGCTAGATTTGTTCACTCGTGATATATACAATCACTGTATTTTAGCGGCAAAAAGTTTCATCTAAACTTCAAAACCGAACTGGTATAAACTGTTTATAAAGTAATCATACAGTATGGTCTAGGGGTATATCGACACCTGCAGTTCCGGTAAGCGAATTCACGCCACATATACATACTTTTTCCAATCTCAAATCTTATGAGATTCATCCAACGTTTCCGAAACAACCGCAAATATGGACAAGCTGAAGCGGAAGTTCACACTAATTCCGTCGGTAACAGGAAAAGAGTAGCGGTATGTGCAAACTATGTTGACGTTAGGAGGATCAAATTCACTCTGTGGCATATGTTTCTAACGCAGATCGTTCAATTAATCACTGGGCTTAAGGATGAGTAGGATTGTTCTCAACTCACATGAGGATAAAAGTGTTTATGTATTGGGTAAAATGGGGGACGGGAATCCGTTTTTTTTCTTCACATAAAGGTCGGGGGCAAGATCCTAGACGAAGCTGACCCTTACTGGAGATTCCACAATGGTTCTCTCGGAAACTTATCGTCATCATCGTGGATACCACGCCTGAGCTAATGGGAGTGGCGAAGAGCCTGACGGTTGCACACGATCGACCGAACATCTAATCACGGTTCCACTGTTAACACGGTGTCTCAGTCCAGCGTGACTACGACAGGCTGTTTACAACAAATAACTAGAAAGTCACGGGGAACAACAGTTGTTCATGTAATTTTGTATTCTACGGGACCACTTTACTATTATTTTTGGTGACGCCAATTTTCTAAACGAACCATGCATTCGGAACTCACATTCTGCCAAGCTAGACATTACAATTCATTCATCTATGCTAGGATGGGCAAAATTCATAGGGAAAACCAAGGGAAGGAGTGGCTGGATTTGCCTTCACGTAAGCTTTCCAAGAACTAACCGCAAAGCATAAGCCTCCCGGACATTTCTTGATATCGTCAGAGTGATCACGGACAGATGGAACGATTTCGAGATGTACATTCGATTCCTCTGAAGTCTCACCATGAAAGTTACGGTAAGATAGATACTGCTGCGGGTCACGCTGAACTCTGCGGTAGAGAGAACTGGCACTGGAGTTTGAAAAACAGGACCTAACACAACGAACAGATAAATACCGTGTACGTCACGTCCTCCGGGAACTAGCTCGGAGGAATTTTGAGATTGAGACGTTTGTTTACAACTGAATGATGTTCGGTTCTGAGTTCCGTCGACTGTACAGGTTTGGATATAAAGCGAAAAGATTTCGTGAGCTTTTCTGGAGAATATACTCACTGATGGTACTCATTTTTATCCGTGGCCTGTCTACCCTCTCCAAAATACACACAAGTGGATTCCATTTGCAAGTGACCTGTCGTTAGTTGGGTGTAAATCCGTCAAGTAGGAGTCAGGACGATGAAGAACAAAATCGCTGCTTCATTGCTCTCCAAATTGCGGAAGTTGTGCCGGGTATACATTGTGGTCCCGCACTTTCGTTGGAGGATATAATAAAACAGATTTATTTGGGTTAACAACTCCCCAATGACATAAAACAAATACCATCCCACATCTCTCTTGAAGTTAATTTGAAAAATGTCTTTACCGTCCCGTGACACGCCCGGCCCACGACAAAAGTAGATGACAGAACTTAACAAGAAGGAAAGTGACTGACTGAGTTTGTTTGTACAGTCATTTGACAATCGTTTTCAGGTGGTTTCGCTTCTAAGCTGAGCGATTGTTTATACGGCAGTGAAGCATCGGTGTTGAACACTGATGGCATGCTGTCGATGATGATGATGCAACACCGCCGAAGACACGTTTTGTATGTGGTTAAGGGATCTGTAGAATTCACATTGCTGCATTATGGACTCAGCAGAACAGTTGGCTCATGGCGCGAGTGGGACTGCCCAAACAAGAGTGAAATGAATGTGAAGACGTTTTGTAATCGCATAACTGGAGCTTACAGACCGGGAATCCTGGTTCACCAGTGCATACCCGTCGCGAAAAGACTGAAATTTTCGTGGCGCGGGAGTTTTCGTACTTCAGTAACCCAGTGAGCAGCAATAGAAGGTTCTCAAGCAGCATTCAAAGGAAAGATGTATAAGTCACCTGGTTGTGGTTTGGAACAGGTGCGGCAATTCTTCCCTTAAAATTAGTCTCGAGCAAACCATCGCTGACTTGCGGTCAGGCTTTTGAGCCACAGACCTTGGTTGAAAACCCAAATTGTCCTGCTGTCCTGACAGCATCCACAGCGCGCTAAAAACCACGAACTTTACAGATTAAATTACCCTCATGCCACATCGGTCAGGTTGTCTTATTCGCTGCATACAGCCAATACAACCAATGTATCCACTAAGGTCCCTCATAAACCAATCGCCCTACCTGGATCTGCAAATGCAAGCAATCTGACAAGCGATGTTGGTTTCCGCAACCAGAAACGCTGGGTCTTTCACCGACAGGTCTGACACAGTGTGCCTCCAAACAGCGTTTCATTACACAAAATATATCACCATGGCTGGAAAGCGATGCAAAGCAGAACAAGCCGTCAAAATGGCACCCCGGAATTTCCTGGGTTGAGTATACTTATCAGATCCGAAGGGACATCTATTTTCAGGCAAACTGTCCTTATCGTCCGCTAAAAAGCTCTATTCTTTCCTAGCGACTACGCAAAGCGATCTTAATTCCCCTGTGAAAGAAGGTTTTGGCCTAACTGGCACCATCCTCTGCGCCGGCTGAAGTAGACACACTTCGTGATCCAACCAAACCAACGGAAACGAAGCTTTCACGAGGACCCAGTACAAAACAAGGAAGGTAGATAACAGTTCGGACAGCCCACCACCGATTTTGCCCCCTCGGGGATAAATAGGTATACTTAGTTCCCAAAATCTGCAACCTGATTTTTTTCACAGACATCAGGTTGTACGTAGGTTACAATAAACACTCATTTGCGGATTTAGTTGATGTTGTTCTGGAGTGTTTTTTCCATTAAACAAGTTTACACAGCTCACGTTTTCGAGTAGCAAATGAATCTCACTAATGCTGCACTGATACGGGGGGGGGGCTGTTGGAGTTGATCTATTCTAACAAAAAAGGATGACATTTAGAAAGAACAGTTATATTATTACTGACATCTAGAAAAATGATGGCATGGAAATGGCATGTGAATGGCGCCTATGAAAACACCCAATGACATTGGGTGAGTGGAGAGTGCGGTCACTTGTTATAGATCCGTATTGCTCACCGAATCATAAGAAGGCGGCGGGTCGGTAAGCAGTGGTTCGGTCGAGGTTTCGCCCGGACGGCGATTTCGAAAGAGGGAGAACATTTTGCGTCGTTGAAACGGTTCAACGGGATCCATTCGTTCCCGTACTGTGGTGGCTACCGGCTCTCCAAACTGCGGCTCAACCCGGTGGACAAGTTGCTGAGCCAAAAGTTGACGACGGCGACGGTAGGCCACACCTGCACCACCGGCCACCACTGCAAGGCCAACAATTGTTAGAGATGCAACTACTGCTGGGTTTTGTGATCCAGTTGGTTGCAAATCGGGTGTGCCCAGGTGCAGCAATAAAGTCCTAAGATGAAAAAGACGCACACAAGAATGTCAAAAGCTGAATAAAAAGGAATTCTCAAACAATTAAATACGTGAAAAACATACAAGAACATCCTTGAAACCCCCAACACCAATGGGACGGCCTTGAACTTCATAAGATTCACGACTGACAGTACTCGAAAGCTGAGCAGACTTTCATTTGGGATCCCCACTCATATTTTCATATCTGGAGCCATCAGACGAATATGGCACCAACACAGATGACGCGAGACTGTTATTTGGTTATTCGATGGCCATTCGGTTGGGTGAGACCATTCAAAAATTTGATCAATGCGTACCAGAGTAGAAACAAACGTGGTGGTTCAACGTGCACTCCACATCTAAACAACGGACGCCTATGCCATGCCAATGGTTAGGAATGTGGAAAATGCCACACCAGGACGTAGTGCGGTGTGTTTTGCGCAAACCGTTCACTCACATGATTGTGTGCAACTAAGAGAATAACAGTGAAGCGGTACTTTCTGTGGACATATACTGGTAGGCAGACATACGATACCGTAGTGTGATGATTCCGAAACTTCAGTGTACTGCAGTTAACATGTGGCTGCACGATTGATAATCGAATTAAGCATACCAGGTGCGCCTTGAAAATGAATAGGTATCAGACAGTAAAAGTCCGGTGTCAAGCCACTAGCTTGAATTGATGGTCGGGCTGAAATGTTGCAATGATTCCGTGGGCTAAATTGGCTAGAACGCCGTCACATAAGGTGTAACCATACCAGGAACTCCAAGGGGGAGCAGTCACAGCAAGACACCGTAATACGAGGCAATCCAGGGGTAAAGTCGTACGGTACTCTGTGGTGGAAGTGTGACGACAGCAAGGCGGTTCCTCCAGACAATCACCATACCCATTCCTTTTCCATAGGAAGTACGGGTGAGAAAAGTTTGTCCACAGAGAGGGTACGCTTTGACTGCCCAACGAATGACCGTGACCGCTGGCGAATTATTCAATACCGCAGAAAAACGAATAAACCTCGTCAGAAGCCCAACGCAGCTCCAAACGTATCTGATATGTGCGACGATATCAGGAGTAGGACATCTATGCCTTATTCCACGCTCACTAGGAACAGATAAAACAACACTGCTAAATCCATGAGGTCTTTTTCACACTGGGGTTTATGTACTCTAGGCAAAACTGACGTAGGCAATAATAGTTGTTCAGACCTTATGAACTGTTGGACGTTGATGTGTACTGCCACGGAAACAGGACTCAAGTACGTACTCAGTTCTTCCACATTCCACTCTGTGTCTGATATTCCAGAAATCATGAATCATGAACGGCATGGCATGGGAGTTGCACTTGGCTTCAGGTCTGGATGTGCTTTGCTGGACTGGGCGCCGTTCAGTTATCTAGCTCAATCAAGTTCAGTGCGACTCGACATAAAAACCGGTGCTTGTTCGTGAAGAAGGCCTGTGCCTCAACGGACTGCAGTTCTGATGCTGTGATTGATACTTTCTATCAAGCTTTATCAGGACTGATTCATCTAGCAAAAAGCGCTGGCAGTGTTATCCCTGCAGGTGATATGAATGCCTATGTCGGTCATGGGAGTTCCTGGGGATCAATTCTGAGTGGTTGCTTCTGAGTCGATGCCCTACACGCAGACAACGGAAAGCGACTCTTTCAGTTGTGTTCTAACCATCAACCGTTTCACAACAACACGAATTTTCAAAATAAACACTCGTACTGCGTAACCCGGCAGTCACCAAGTGCAAACCAACCAGTTCAAGGCGAGCAATCTCCAGTTACCTTTCTGACAAAACCTGTTGCAGAATGGGGCACATCGACAGTCATCAGTATCTTTGAAAAAAGGTGCGCGAACACCGCGTGAAAACCATCCTGGCATTAGCCTGGTAGCTGAGGCGAAGATGCTCCCAGGTCTCACCTTCCGAAAGTCGCCTGAAGTAAAAGAGCCAGATTCATGAAAGCGAAGCCGGATCCTGATCTGCATCGATCGCATATTCAATTTTGACAGATACTAGAAAAGCGACAGTCTCGAAAAAAAACCCAACAATGCCGTCTTTTGACTCTGAATCGTCAACGATACAGAGCAAATGTGTTGCCCACAAATTCTTGATCCATCCTTAAGCGCTGTATCCCAACTCCCGTGGACGTGTAAGGGTCTATGGGAAGCCCTCACCGGATGTCAGACAAGGCTGTGCTGCTTCTCTTCAGCATCATCAGTACGATCATGGAAGTTTCACAGACTTTGGAATGGGGATGCTTCCACGACGTTCGCTCACACAGACGGAGTACCAAGATGAAAGTTATTGAATCTCATGTCATCATAAAGCAGACAACATGAAATAACTTGAGTAGTTGTACTTCAAGGTTTTTTGTGCGCTTCACATCTAGAATTGTGGAGTACTGCTATCAGACGGGGAGGGATGAAACCCCAAACGATAATGGTGAGTCAATTAAGGAAATGGATAAATCTGTCTATCTGGGTAGCTGTCTTGAGGGTCCAGCTAGGGAGGATATTTCCATTGGCGTCGGAAAGTCAAGGGCGGCTTTCGTCAATCTGAACCAACAGAGGAGCAAGTGTGGCAGCCTACCTGTCAAGGGTCGCAGTTAAAACGATGAAGCACACTCCATATTGTTATGTGAGCCAGAAACCTAGCCAATGCGCAATGCATCAAGAACGTTAAAAGATTTACAGACTAATCCACCACACACGCGAAGAAAAGCCTTTACAATCCAAGGATCCAGTACGGAAAGTGTGCACCGATCACTGCACTTCCAATAGGATGATACGCTATTTCCTAGAGGGATAAGTACCGCCGTTCAGAGAAGAGAAAAACCAAGTCACACGGTCTTCCTCTCGAAAAATTTCACCTAGAGAGTCAGTGAAGACCAAGTCACGTGGTGCTTGATAAGAGCTTTAATTACTGCTTTGAAAAGTGCACTGGGGTCATGGAAGAAGCCTGGATGAATTAAAGTCATTAGCGTAGGGGTAGGTACTGTCTAAACAATATACAACGTAACGGTCGAGTAATGGAAGGAACAGCTGGACAATGGCAAGTAACAGCGTTGAACCACCAACTAACTTGACTCTAATGCGTACGACAGGTGACTTTTACTGTTTTTCAGCGAACTATTGATGTTTGAACAACATACGGAGATCGGGGACACTATCACCGAAGCACTCCGTAACTAAATGATCGTGAAACAGGCGGCTGAATCCACAGTGCGTTTGTGCGAAAACCAGAATCACAGCACCACTGCACTACACTACTCGGAAGATTTCAACCTCGATGTACAGTACTTCGAGCCGAAATCGGCTAGAAATTCGGTTTGTTCACAAAACCTAGTTCATTGCTCTACAATTCCCTAGTGAGGTGTGTAACCGATTGCGGAAAACGCAACCTACCGAATCACACACACCACACCGATACGCTCAGTTATGGATAGGTTTCTTTCAAGCCAAGCGATTCCACTACAGTTAGACGGGACGGTCTCGGTGAATATGGGCCTTCACACTCTCCTCTTGGAGCCAAACAAGGACCTACTTAATTTGACTTAGTTGCTGGCTGACCCAGCAGTTTGATCGGCAAAACCTCTACTAGTCGCCTAGTGTAGCATGCTGAGGATAGTTATTAGGCTCCCGTTTCATTTAATCTTACAAGCATAGGAACATACCTAAAGCATACTACAGTGAGCAATCTGAAAACGAGGTTGCTGACTACACTGTGGACAGATTGCACGGTGCACAATAATACGTGATTTTAAATAATTGATGCAGCTGCGCTTGAGAACCTCTGAAGCTAGCATGTGCCAATCAATGCACTATGGTCTCCATAGTTAGTAAGGAACAAGTAGTGAATATTGGAGCTATCTTGACAACAACCACTCATCGACAGCCCAATACCGGTTTGATCCTTCTTGGCGCTTATCAAGTGCAGTAGCTTCCAAGTTACCATAAACCTTGTTTTACTTGAGCGTTAAATTGTAAGCAAGTGGCGAAATGCACTCATCTTAAACCATATGGGAGACCCAGATGAAGCTTTCCCATCCAATAATGAAACATCATAAACGACCGACTCAGTTGTCCCTCCAATAAAATTTGAAAGTGAGTGTATTTCGCCACCAGTTGGAACGTTTACGAGCAAAGAACAGTTATTGGAAGGTGAACCTTCAGGAGACCCATTGCAACGAGCAAGAACGGCATACAATTCAGGAAGAGAAAAGGATCAGGGCCGAAGTGAGTTACAAAAGGTGACTTTGCCACAACAACACAATGGGCGACTGTTTCAGTGGCAGCCGAGGCTAAACCTCAAATTGGGAGTGAGAAGAATGTTGGTGAGGTGATCTCGCACTGATCTTCATCGCTGCGAACCAGTTCAATTACTGGAGGGCAACTTGAAGATTCATTCGATTTCCAAAAGAAAACCATCACATGAGGTGTTTTATTCTTTTTAGGTTCATGAGGTGGACAAGTAGTGGGGCGGTCACGTGGCTCTTTGACTGGCAGTCACAAGCTGTTCGCCTTGGGATCATAACCCTGACGACCAGAATACAATGATCTTCCTCAAAACAGGGTAGCTGACCTTATTGGTGAGGATAGTAGACTGGATCGCAATCGACGTGGAACATTATTCTGGACTCTCTGGAGAAGTGACCTCTCAAAGAATTAATGTGGATAGGATAAACAGTCCGATAATTCAGGAGTTAGCTCAGTCGATCCAGCCAAAAAAGAACAAATTAGAACAAGGAAAGAAGTTCACAGTCACTTACCAGGCGGAATAATTGCTGGCCACATAAAACCCATCCTTAGGGGTGCCCAAGTTGACAAACTGCTCCCTGGCACCCACGTATCCCTCATGGGAACCTTGATGTACTTGGTTAAAACGGTCTCCATAATAGGCGTAGACCAGACTGCGCGAGTACTTCTTTGCGGTGCTACTGTGTTTAACCAGTTTTCTGTATGCTAGATTTGCGAGTCTAAGACTGTGAGAAGCGCCAACTGGGTCCGGATTCGTTATACTCACAGGGACGCTCTGAATGTAAGCCGGGGGAGTATCGTGCCCCATCTGTCCGGCTTTCACACGCTTATCCAAGAGTATATATTGAGACTGAGCAAGCGAAGAAGGGGTGCGACAGAAACCAGAAGAAACTTGACAGAAGACCAGTTGAAACGAAGCTACTGTGCTCAAAAGAGGGACAACAAAATAGAAAGACCGGAAACCTCCAACAAGACTCACAAAATGATCGTATAACCTTTTCCAAACTGAGCTAAATGTGATTTGAGTTCACTTAGTCAGTTAAACGAACGGTCTTCATTCTACCATGTCTAAGTCGGAAAAACGAAGAAAACAAATTTATGTCACATTTATTTACGGAAGGAATTCACCGTCCGAGCAAAAAATAACTCAGATAATGATGCAATAATTTCTTGGCTTCGGACGTGAGTTTCAACGCAAATCGACAATGAACTAATCTGAACGGTGGTCTAAAACCCTTGAAAAGTTATTTAGTGATCCTATCGAATGCAGTTGGATAGGAGTAAAAATTACAAAATGTCCTAGAAGGCGAAACCACAACAGGCAAGAAACCAAAAAAGTTACAGTAACGGACGCTATGCACCGAACAACACAAGCAGTGTGGTTTCAAAAAATAACCGAAACTTACGTCCAAAATAATCAGTGCGAGGTGCAACACGTTTAAGCCAGAGAATAAAGGCAGTCAGAGACAACTAGAACGTTGTCGAAAACAACAATTTTTGTGATTCATTCACGACCGATTTCACTGTGGGATTCTATACACTCAACTTTCCTGAGTGTACATTCTCAGGAAAAGACCTGGTGTGGAAGGTCCACCTAAAATAGAGATGCATCTGTGCAAAGTGGAAATTCCGCAGAGGAACTAGACCAGACTGGGGCATGACATGCTCTTCTCAAACAGGAAGAACTGTGTAAAGAAGTTGGTGAGATTAACAGGATGCACAGTCAAATCATGTGCCAGCTTTGGTTTCGAAAGTCATGGTCCTAATAACTTGTGTAGAACGGACCTTTATTAGAACGTCTTCGTGGGCAAAGCTTATAAGGGTCATAGGAATGAGCTTAACAATCAAGATATGTGCATTCATATCTGTCCGTAGGCCCATCCAAAACAATCTGTTTTCCAGGACTACTTGAACCTTTCAAATGGACGGTCATCGTAGTCTGTACGTTTCACCCAGGGTGTAATTATCCGACCACTCTTGAAGGATATGTACTACAAACAATCCACGGTTAAACAGAACCAAGTGATATAAAATAAATAAAAATGGACGCACTGGTAGTTTTCCCAAGGGCCCATCGAACATTGTCCGGGAGTACCCAGAAACCTGGACAAAATCGTCATCGTCCTCCATGGATTGATTAGAAAAGACCAGGAGAACAGGAGCAACACGAGTTTGTTCGTTCTTTGCCTTCAATCGGTCGATGACAATGCGGACTTCTACGCACAGTCCGCCGGCAACTTCATAATAGAAGGCATCATAAGGTTTTGTGTCTTTAGCATAAACGGTGAACTGAATGGTGGGGGTGAGGTGGGGTGAAAAAGAGGGAATATCTATACAAGTGCACAAATTCCTGAGGATTTAACAACTAGTCTTATCCATTCGCAAGTGCAGACGGAAGATCATCGTTAATTCACGAATCTACCGGGACCAACACAACCAATCAATAGTGAAGACCGGATGCAGAATGGATTAATGTCTGGGGGACGAAGTTCATATTCACCGAAATTTTGGTGCTTTACAGAGACAGACCATCAGAAATTTGACTCTCCCCAAAATGGACCAATTCAGTGGTTGGAGAAGCTAAAAGAAACGATCCAACCGTGAACCTAAACGAATTCAGGTATCCCAGCTATCAAATTCAGTGCACATCTAACATTACAGCTGTTTGTAATAATAGAAAGACAAGTTATCGGTACGTTATTTAAACTTTATAGAAAAAAATCCGGTGATCGATGCCGCCACTCCCAACAGGCACTTTTCCAAACGCAACAATAGGATAACTGGGTAACTTTTTAAAACCACAGATTACACGCTTATACCGTATGCGACAAGCGGTGATGTTCTACATTAGGAGTGGACACTTTGTCACCTACGCACCGCACTTCAACATGAAATTTGGAGCCTAGTCGAGAGCGTCGGCAACCTTGCTTCCTTCCAAGTAACCTATATGTGTGCATGCACTCCAGAGAATATTATTCTCTCGGCTATGAGAACCTGACAAGGAAGGCCTTTATTAGGACGCACAAAATATGCTCTCTGAACAGCCCGGAAAGTAAGAGCAAGCACACAGGGACGATGTTGTTTCTGTGATAGAAGGATGAGTGACGCTATATCCCTCCTGAGCGAGAGCTAATCACGCTGCTGTTTAGTCGCTCGTGGCCGGAAGGTCACGGGTTTTAAACTCTCTGATTTTCGCGAGATACACACTGCCAATGATTATTCACCGGCTTTTGAGGATAGATTAGTTTCACTCAAACGACGAAATCACACCAGAAAAGTATCGAGGTTCCTCAAACTAACATCAACATACGTCAGTGCCTCAACAAAGGACACCCCGATGAGCTCATGAGAAAATACTTTGATACAGCGTTGTTCGACGCACTAACAGTTTTAGTACCAGAGGACAGAGTGGACAAACATTTAGAAGTTGGAGGTATAGTGTACACAACCACATCCACCGTCATATGGAATTCGCGGTGAGCAACGCACATTCCACATAGCTGACACAAAGTATTTGACCAAAATACCACCAATCATCAACGATAAACTGTCTATTTTATCCACCAAAAACCACAGTTCACACGCGTGCAGAAGCACGAACATGGGCATCTGTTAGACAAAAGAGCAGAACAATGTCTTAAATTGGTATTCGGGTCGGCCAGAAAAGCTTCTGAAATCTCTATCACAAAGTATATTACCGATGCACCAAGCTGAAGAGCCAAAAAATTAATTTCGGGTTGTTCGTTAAAACAAAGAATCAATACTATATTGCGCAGAGACTGTGGTCATCCGACGTCTAAAAATGCCCCTTTCTATCCAGAAACCGAGTATTTGCAATTGGGTCTAGCCCTCTGAAGATTCGACGGATGAAAGTATTCAACAACCATTTCCTTTAGGAGTTCTGAAACAAACTCGGCTCCGATGTCGTTAAAAAATTGTGTCACGTGGTTTACCACACTATCTCCCTTGATTCAGTTTGTGTCCAGTCTAACCAATCTTTCCCTCAAGTTCGCCACAGTCCAATTTAATCAATTTATCAGCTGTAAACTGTGCACCATAGGCACATTGGTTCCAGCTGGCATGTTTAGTTAGTTCTGGAACTGCGCACCAACACATTGAAGGTAAGAGCTTCGATGGACGAGCACCACTAAATGCGTGATTGGGCTCCTTTTGCCAGTGTCATCAACCATTGGTGAGTTGGGTCCCGGACCCCATCCAGGAAGGCGGTAGTTGTCCACTCTACTGCGTTTGCTGTTTAGTGTTTTCATACTGCCTTACCAGGTCATAAAACGGCCACCTGTTCGGTCGCTCCCAGTCAGCACAGAGCTGGGCGAGATCGCTTATTGGTTAGAGCGCGAATTTACTGACCAGAAAGTCTGTGGTTCGAACCCTACCTCTGCTTCTCGACTTCGCCTGTCTAGGCTTGGGAAACCTCGCAGTATCCCAGCCCTCGTGCTTCCTTCTGGTGGCGTGGCAATCAAACACTGGTTCTATCGACCAATAGTGGTGATCCTCTTCGACTTGAAAGCTGCCTTTGACTCTGTGGACTGTCGGGCACTATGGCAGCATCTGTGGAGTAAACGCATTTCCCACAAATTCCGGACTCTCCTTAGGAACCTATGCGACAGTTCCCGCGGATGCACGAAGGTCTGTGTGGAGTTCTCGCCTGAGTTCAAAACATCGAAGGACGGTTAAAACTGTTCTGCTTTACCCTTTCAGCTTCGTCATTATTACGATTATTGAAGACTCAATACAAGCTCCAGTATATCGAATACGCAGAGGACAACTCTTCCTGGGTCTGATGCCACTGTAATGCAGACGTCAGATGATCTAAATAATTCTTACGGTTTGGTATGCGCTTCACACCTTGAAAGTGTAAAGTTCTGCTCCAAAACTGGATGGGCTCGAACCCTACCCACATGCTTGCAGATGGGCCGATTAAGGTATTAGACAAATCTACTTACTCGAACAGCTGTATCAGTCCTGACGGTCTCGCGAAAAATGATATTTCTATCCGGATTAGGAAGACCGGAGAAGCTTTCGTGAGCCTGCGTCACCTGTGGCACAGACGTGACATCAGTTCGTCCGTCAAAGGTCGTGTTTACAATGCTTCGGTGTGCTCCATATTTTTATACGGTTCAGAGGCCTGGGTGCTGGGCGCCGAGGACGCCAAAAGACTCAGTGTTTCACCAACGATATTTTCGGAGCACTGCCCGAATCTGGTGGGATCAGTAATGCTGAAGTACGTCGGATGGTTTTCGGTAGAACTAACTGGCCCACGATTGATGAACTGACCACACTCCATAGACTGCGCTGGCTTGGCAATCTGCTCCGCATGTCAGTCGACCGACTTCCTAGAAGGGGTCTCTCCGCACAACCATGTGAAGCGTGAAAATCTGTCCGTGCTGATCTTTGCCACCTCCCTGGATGGAGACTCCGAGACGGGACTTATCGATGGTTAGACATCGCCCACTCGTTCATGCAAGCTAGAGACTTCAATGCATAGCTCCCCTCCCAATCTCCTCAACTAAAAGTCAACTGACAACCCTTTATTTACGGATCAATTATATCAATTATTTACAATGTGCGGCTACATACTCCATCTTCCAAAACCACCGCTGAACGAGACTGTGACAGCTAGGACCACTGTACGGCAAGTACGCTGTTCTTACAGCTGATGGTGATGAGGTGAGGGCGGTGACGCTGGAGTAGAGATACGATAGTTCATTTATGAGGCACCATATTCACGGTTCACCTCAGTTCTACGGAACGACAGGCCGGGCGCAGGTTGCCCGGACTTGAGTGATAGTGCTGAGTATGCTACTGGGACACGATATTCTTGTAGTAAAAAGGCTCAGAGATTGGGTGGTTCGTTTACTTGGGAGAAGAATGTAATTTTTGTCCTTTCATGGGCTGCAACTACCCTAAGATCCTCGCTATACATATGAGTACAACGTTTGTGATTGCGTGAAAATGAAAAAAATCGGTACACTATCCGGTAAGCGCTAATTTCACCCAGTGGGGTCACAAAGAGTTTGTTCAGCTGTAGTATCCTTTCGGTACTTAACTGGCATGCTACCCGAAAAAAGCACGAGGGCTGGGAAATTGCCAAGTTGCCCACGCCTAGACAGGGGAAGTCGGAAGGCAGAGGTGGTGTTCAAACCACGGGACCTTCCCGTCTGCAAATTCGCAAACTAACCACTGAGCCATCTCGCTCCTGCCTCTGGAGTTACCACAAACATCGCAATCAACATTAACAGTAACTCTAATGCGAGAACAATGATGTTTAAGTGTTGAGCAACAGAAACAGCAACATAAATGAAAGACTCACTTCACCATACCATCGAATGTAATAATTTGTAATACCGTGGCCTCCCTCAGAAAGGAAACCCATTTATAAGCGCCCATTTTTGATGGGTTAATCGAAGTGAAGTATGAAAGCAGAGTCCCAACCGTCACGAAGAGACTGGACCTTACCGTGGTGTGACGGTTTGCGCACCTCAGCGATCCACTGAGCTATACTGGAGAGTGTCCCACGACACTCACAGAGTCTCTCATACCAGGTTGGTCAATGGTTAGAGGTCTGACGAACACAGTCTCCTGGCCCTCCAGGTTGGGGGTTGGAACATGTGGCGACTTGTTCCGTAGAAATGTGGGTCTGATGCCACTGTAATGCAGACGTCAGATGATCTAAATAATTCTTACGGTTTGGTATGCGCTTCACACCTTGAAAGTGTAAAGTTCTGCTCCAAAACTGGATGGGCTCGAACCCTACCCACATGCTTGCAGATGGGCCGATTAAGGTATTAGACAAATCTACTTACTCGAACAGCTGTATCAGTCCTGATGGTCTCGCGAAAAATGATATTTCTATCCGGATTAGGAAGACCGGAGAAGCTTTCGTGAGCCTGCGTCACCTGTGGCACAGACGTGACATCAGTTCGTCCGTCAAAGGTCGTGTTTACAATGCTTCGGTGTGCTCCATATTTTTATACGGTTCAGAGGCCTGGGTGCTGGGCGCCGAGGACGCCAAAAGACTCAGTGTTTCACCAACGATATTTTCGGAGCACTGCCCGAATCTGGTGGGATCAGTAATGCTGAAGTACGTCGGATGGTTTTCGGTAGAACTAACTGGCCCACGATTGATGAACTGACCACACTCCATAGACTGCGCTGGCTTGGCAATCTGCTCCGCATGTCAGTCGACCGACTTCCTAGAAGGGGTCTCTCCGCACAACCATGTGAAGCGTGAAAATCTGTCCGTGCTGATCTTTGCCACCTCCCTGGATGGAGACTCCGAGACGGGACTTATCGATGGTTAGACATCGCCCACTCGTTCATGCAAGCTAGAGACTTCAATGCATAGCTCCCCTCCCAATCTCCTCAACTAAAAGTCAACTGACAACCCTTTATTTACGGATCAATTATATCAATTATTTACAATGTGCGGCTACATACTCCATCTTCCAAAACCACCGCTGAACGAGACTGTGACAGCTAGGACCACTGTACGGCAAGTACGCTGTTCTTACAGCTGATGGTGATGAGGTGAGGGCGGTGACGCTGGAGTAGAGATACGATAGTTCATTTATGAGGCACCATATTCACGGTTCACCTCAGTTCTGCGGAACGACAGGCCGGGCGCAGGTTGCCCGGACTTGAGTGATAGTGCTGAGTATGCTACTGGGACACGATATTCTTGTAGTAAAAAGGCTCAGAGATTGGGTGGTTCGTTTACTTGGGAGAAGAATGTAATTTTTGTCCTTTCATGGGCTGCAACTACCCTAAGATCCTCGCTATACATATGAGTACAACGTTTGTGATTGCGTGAAAATGAAAAAAATCGGTACACTATCCGGTAAGCGCTAATTTCACCCAGTGGGGTCACAAAGAGTTTGTTCAGCTGTAGTATCCTTTCGGTACTTAACTGGCATGCTACCCGAAAAAAGCACGAGGGCTGGGAAATTGCCAAGTTGCCCACGCCTAGACAGGGGAAGTCGGAAGGCAGAGGTGGTGTTCAAACCACGGGACCTTCCCGTCTGCAAATTCGCAAACTAACCACTGAGCCATCTCGCTCCTGCCTCTGGAGTTACCACAAACATCGCAATCAACATTAACAGTAACTCTAATGCGAGAACAATGATGTTTAAGTGTTGAGCAACAGAAACAGCAACATAAATGAAAGACTCACTTCACCATCGAATAACTTGTAATAATTTGTAATACCGTGGCCTCCCTCAGAAAGGAAACCCATTTATAAGCGCCCATTTTTGATGGGTTAATCGAAGTATGTTTTGAAAGCAGAGTCCCAACCGTCACGAAGAGACTGGACCTTACCGTGGTGTGACGGTTTGCGCACCTCAGCGATCCACTGAGCTATACTGGAGAGTGTCCCACGACACTCACAGAGTCTCTCATACCAGGTTGGTCAATGGTTAGAGGTCTGACGAACACAGTCTCCTGGCCCTCCAGGTTGGGGGTTGGAACATGTGGCGACTTGTTCCGTAGAAATGGTAATGCATTTGCATTTCCCGCCAAACACCGCTGCCTTGCGGTTAGGCTTTTGAGCCAAAGGCTTTGGTTGAGGACCCTAATCGTCCTCCTGTCTAGGTGTAGGCGCCCTGGCAGTATCCCAGCCCTCGTACAACCATGACCTACACAACTAACAATATTCTCATGCCACATCGGCAGTCGCGTGGTGCCATCAGCCGGGTCGCCTTACTTGCTGCATACAGCAGGGCGAGTAAGCGAAAACAGGCTACTGCTGACGCCTCCCTTCTTTCTCCTTCACATACTTTTTCTTCCCCCTCTCCCCACCCCATTAATAACTCTCTCCTTGTAGGCCCAGCACCTAGGACTGATGACTCCGTTCGTCATACATCGGTTTTGCGTGCAGCATCTGCTCATCACATGGTGCCGACATCTCCAGGCATCTCCAAATCAGTCCTCAAGCCTCGACACCCAGTCTATCTGGCCGCGTTCAATGTTCACACTCTGAAGCAAGCAGGACAACAAGCTGCTCTTGCACTCACACTGGACTCGCTTGGCATTGATGTGTGCTGTGTCTCAGAAACGAGAATTCAAGATGCAAGCACAGTGATTGAGTTA